ACCAAAAAGTATGTGCAAATATTCTTAGAATCGTCTTAGAAGTAATCTAAAATCATTTTACTGTAATTTTGCTCAAGTTTCAGCCTGGGAAATAGATACACTTTTTATTCCTATGCTATAGGTTACCCAATGAAACATACAGCATCAATCCCTGTCATTCATAAAAGTCTCTGATGACTTGTGAACTTCATGCAATTTATACTTTAATCACTGCTCTTGGTAGTAGAGAAGTGACTGCCTCTATTGTATAGTTCCCTTGACATGTGCAGAGGTTATAAAAGAGGGAGCTAAAATATAGCCTCTATTTGGATGCAATTTTTTCCTTCTGGGAAGCATATTCTTAGTGAGAAAGGGGTAAAGCCTCTTCTACAGTTCCTCTTATACTCACAGAAAGTTCCCAGGAAGACTTTTAGTTATATAATTAACAATTTGAGGATGATGTGGGAAGGAAAAAGTACATCCTTTGGTGCAGTCTTCAGAGAGAGCGATGAACATTTTCAATCAGGTCTTTGAATCAGGGTGAGCGTTCTGTTTTTATTTCCACTTCATATGGACTTGTTTACAGCTGAGTGATTCCAAGCTGCCACTGAGAAACTTAGATTAAAATGAGTAAGTGGATGAATAAACTAAATACATCAAGACATAAAAGGGAATATTTAGTAACTTTTACTTAGCAAGTTATTTTGTGGAATACTAAATCACATAAAAATGTACATAATAAAATAAATAGAAAAATAAAACTATACCAAAATCAGCACAGAAACAACACCAATAATAGATAACATCTATATAATGGTAATCAGTGGCAGATATAGTTCTAAATAATGATACATACTTAACTTATTGACCACAACATTATGAGCACGTACTAACATCTGCATTTTACTTATGAGATATCTGAGGCCCGGTCAAGACTAAATAAGGACAAAAAATCCCTCCTTCCCTCCAGAAAGGTGGAGCTGGGGTGAAGAGGACCGGAAAGAGGACCCCAAATCCCTCCCTACCAGTGAATATTCTGCCCATTCATTTTTATACCCATATAACCAGGATGACAAAGAAACTCGGGAGAGTGAACCACCTGGGTCTTCCTGCACGTCCCTTGAGAGATGCTATCTACCCCTTAACAAATCCTTGCTTTGCTCTCTTGATCTTTGTGTCTCATTTCTGCATTCTTTTTGTGATGAGACAAGAACTTGCTCTCCGATGACAATTCTACAAATACGGAATATTTGTAGACATGGTGATACAGAAGAGAGGGCATCAAAGAAAGGAAAGAATATGAAAACTGCTCAAGAAATACACTAACAAGCAAAAATATATGGGGAGAGAGGAACACACAGTTTTGACTTAACTGAAGAAACTGAGAGGAGACTGGTTTATTTAAGAAAATGTGCATCCTGGAAAGTTAGGTGTGAAGATTTTAGAGCAGATGGAGTCGGGGTTAGAGCTGGCTCCGTGTGAGAAGTATCTGAACTGAAACACCTAATGGCAGACACGTGGGTGAAGGAGACAGCTCTCCACCAATAAGACTTGGAAAGTAGAGGCAAAGCTCTGCTAAACAATGTCTTCCTTCAGTATTCTCTAGGTACCTGAGGTTAATAGTCACCATTTGCATATGCTCTCAAATTGAGGTTACAGGAAACAAATAAAAAGAGTATAATGTGAGACGTGAGAATCCTGCCAAAAATCCACTCTTAAGTATCTACCAACAGGGCTCATGGTTCCTGGAGAAATTAGAAGTCATCTTCACTCAAAAGTCAATGCCATTTCCCTTCTGCTTTCTTGGCTTCCAGGAGAGGCTGATATCCCACAGTTGGCTTTCCGGTCTTCCAGGTGCTTGAACAAATGCTGCCCACCTGAGACCCTGGAGTTTTGGGCTGTTCTCTCTGTATTCCTTTGAAATCAACTTCTGGCTAGTGTGACACTCAGTTCTTTTGCTAAAGTACTGTAACCATTGTTCTCCCTCTATCCACCTGATTATAAGGAAGCCTGTTTGTGCCCATAAACAAGCTCAGACCTCCCCCTTAGTGAATTGACTTCTTAGCTTCACTATGGCTTACATTCCACAATAAATCTATTAATCCCTGCAGCATCAGGGAAATGAACAACAACAAAAAAAAGACAGGCAACTCTTGTGTCTATAGATTATAAATGAAGGTGCAATTCCTTGACTCTCGGTGGGCAGGGTCTAGCCTATTTGTATATTTGAATGAGTGAAAAGTCACAGGTAAAAAGTTAAAGAAATAGTTACGTTTCTTATCCATATCATTTTTCACCTAAAATTATCTTATGGTGTGCATTTTTGAAATGAAGAGTGACAAAAACAAATCTCATCTTTGGTGAACAATGAAACAAAACAAAAGCCAGTCTTTTGCGCTCAACACAATACATCACAACTTTTATTTCCTGATCTCCTTGTTGCCTTTGACCTTATGCCCTTGAGTATCAATGATGTTGTTGTCTTTACTATTTCATCTCGCTTCAGCTTTATGAACTGCCTGTGGACAATAAAGTAAAGAAGACTGATAAGTACATTCAGAGTCTGGAATAAAGTTGGCCAACAGCTCTATCTTTGTAGTCTACATGAATTCCCACAAACAGTCTTCTACTGCATTTTTCTTTTACTTTAAAACAACTCCGTAACGTTCACTTGAGTTTTTCAATTATAATAAAGTTGTGAGCTGAAACCCTGACCACCATGAAGCATTTTGGGGGTTTCTTATGAACAGATAAATTAGGGGAAAATTAGGTCAAAAAGAGCTAAACAGAAATTCGATACCATATATCTGAGTCCATGTTAACACACATTGTATGGCCAGACTTCCAAGATAGCAGTTTCCATATATGAAATGCTGTAGTGAATTTGCATCTTCAGATAGCCCCACTTTAATATGTCTTTGTAAATTAGAGAAATGGTTTTATTGGAAGACAGTTATTTGATACCTCAAGTTTCTCTGGGTCTCACTTCTTTTCAGAATGCTTGGGTAAGCAAGTAGCTTTGGAAAGGTAGAGACCTTTTCCTCCCTGGAGCAGGTTTAAGTTCCAGCAATAACAAAGGCAATGTCTTTCTCTCTCTCTCTGGGGAGGAAGTTGGATCAGTTTACCAGCAGCACCAGTATAAGATCAGAGGCTTACTAATATCAGTGTCCTTCTCCTGTGATTCATCCCAGCGAGTGGGCAGGAAACACCAGACCCCCATTGTGTTGTCCTGTAAGAATAGGAGCTCAGGAAACCAGTGCGCGATGTCACTCTGGCCCTTGCGATAGCAGTGTGTAATCAGCTGGTTTTGCTCTGATCCAGAAACCTCATGTCTCTTTGTACCTGTGATGCTGTGACAGGCTGACTTGTTAGCTTGTGAGTAAGGCAAGATCTGGAGCATTGCTCCTGATCAGTGACAAGTTTATTTGAATCTTAGAAAATGCCTTAACAATTTTCCTTGACTGGATTATATTTTGTCATTGTTTTCAGAGTGATCTGCTTTTTTATATCAAGAAATGTTATCTGGTTGTATGATTAATAAATACAGTGGGAAATTAGAGAGACTGTAAATTAGGGAAGAATTCGTTAATAGTACCCATCATTCTACCACTTTGAGAAAATCCTTAATAATATTCTCCATATATTCTGTGGCGTTCTCCATCTTGTAAGAACACACAAACACACTTACATTTACACATGGAAATATAAATTTATAATTTGGGACCATATTCTATACACTGGTATATTTTGTGCTCTAATTCTAGAACCTCATATGTGCCTTCTTATTCATAATTCTTTATATGATACACTATCATTAATGAGTTATCAAAGATACCACTTGGATTTTAATTTGTTTTTCTTTTTATTGCCTTTGTTTCTCATCGTCTCTCTCAGTTCCCAAAATTGCATTTTAAGCTAACATTTACAGGATTCTAACCTATTTCACACAATCCACTAAAAGCTTTATATATGTTATTTTTGTAATAATATCAAGAACCCTAAGAAAATATCTTTAGTTAAACATAACGTTTTTCTATTTTACCAGCTGTTCAATTATCCTTAGAGAGATCTTCCTCACCCTAAGATAAAATTTTTCTTTTAAAACCTTTTACATTTAGCACAAATTCATCTAGTGAGGGAGTGATCTAGTATTTCTAATAATTATGATATTTAACATTTTCTGGACATTTACTATGGTCAAGTGCTTTTCTAAGCAGTGTGTATAGATGATATCATTAAATTCTCAAAATTTCTCAGCTGGTAGTATTATCTTCATTTTAAAGATAAATTAACTGAAGCAGAACAAGTTTAAACAATCTTCCAAAAGTCACTAAGCAAGTAGGTTGCAAAATTAGGATGCACACTGTACAGAGTCTGACTCCATAACTCTTTCTGAGCAACAGTAGTGTTGAGAGTTAACCAAGAGTCCTACCACTGCTTCTTGAGTTATCTATTACTCATTTCCTAAATGAAGTGCTTTTTTTGTGAAATGGTTAGTTCAGGCATGCACTTGGGTCTATGTCTGGGCCTTTTCTTCCGTTACAAAATCTGAGTACTTATCTTGTGCCTTACAAAACAGCTGCTTTGAAGGAACAGCCAGAACGCTGTATCTACCAAAGTGTATTTAATGTACATTTCTAAGAACCATAGCATATGTGTAATATACAAAGGTTTTTACAGTTTATTTAGGGATTTTCAATAATTCCAGAGAATGAATGAATAAATATGGGAGGAAATGTATCAGGCTATCACAATCATTCTCCAGCGTGCCATGGTCAAGTACCAGAGTCATGCAGAGACATGCCATCCTAGCCCATCCCAGTGTCAGGACTGATGGCACGATGTCCTCCCGGGTCTGTATCCAAGGAAGCCAACCAGATGGAAAGTCCATGTCTCAGTCCTTCAAACTACCGTAGCAAAATACCATAGACTACGTGGCTGATAAACAACAGATATTTATTTTTCACAGTACTGGACGCTGGAAGTCCAATGTCAAGGCACTGGAAGTCGCTGGAAGTCACGGTCAAGGTGCTGGCAGATTTGTTCTTTGATGAGAGACTGCTCCCTGGTTTACAGATGGCCATCCTTTTGCTGTGCCCTCATGGAAGAAGGATCAAGGGTGTTCTCTGGGAGTATCTTTTATAAGGACATTCATCCTATTTATAAGAGCACCACTTATGAGCTAATCACTTCCCTAAGGCTACACTTCCTAAGACCATCACCTTGGGTCTTAGGATTTACCAGATAACGTTTGGGGAGACATAAACATTCCATCTATAGCATCCTGGTCTACAGAGAAGGAGAGGTAAATATTCCATCCATAGGAGATAACAGAGTGTCCCCCAAGACCATCCTTGTCATGCAATAATTACTGGGAATGAGAAACGACATGTCCTTGGGTTTACTTGTTTGCAGCTTATTACGTTTAATTAGGACAAATGGTCTGCACACTCTTCTCCCTTTTTCTCTTTATGATCGTTAAGCATGGAGGTTTCTCTTGCCAGCACAACCCTGGCACACATGCATGACTGGAGTGATAGTTTTCTTAACTCCCCATCCAGCATTTGATCCACCGCCAGCCTCCTAAATTTAGATCAGGATGCTGCTTTAGAATTTGGCAAGTGTATCACACTCCCGCCATTATCTTACTGCCACAATTTCCCCCTTTATATTTAGAAGCACTTTTATTAACTTGTTTATATAGCACTTTCTGAGATTGTTTATCTTTTAGCAGCCCATAGTGTGAAGCTGAAAGATTAAGAAAAAAGTACTTATTTTTCATAGATGTAAAATGAAACAGTCTTATACAGACTTTGATTATTTCTAATAATCATTCACTAATTTTCATGCTGATCACTGTAAGAACTATGCCTGTCGCTCCAATGACGACTTCCATTTTCAGATTCTGCTGAAGGAAAAAAAATAACATTTTCAAGCATCTGTTCCATACACACTTTTGATTTTCCATGTACATTTTGCACAATGTGACCTAAAATTATATTTAGACATTTTCATTCGAAGAGGAAAATTGCTAACTAATTCATTAGATTTTAGCTAGAAACCCCTCTAAGTTTTTCCCCACTCTCTAGTGTGTGTACATTCTATGTGAAATGACATCTAAAATGTGCCTTCAAGCAGAACCGTCATTTTTCTATTGTTGGGCTACTACCAAGGTGTTATTGCTACCACTTCATTCCGTAGTGTGCCAGGGAGAGTCATGGAACAATTATTGGACTCTGGCCTGACATCACACAAAGTCACAGCCACCACTACTACATGCAGTGTGTCTGTCTGACTCTATCTTTGCCAGACAGTGAACAAAATCAATATTTAAGTCTTAGGCACATAGTATGTGAGTTGTTTTTCATATTGCTTAATACTAACAATACTAAGAGTCAGAATTTGAAGATTAAATCAAGAGTTATGGTTTTCCTTGAAAAGTTTGAAGACAGACCATTTGTATTTTCTTTTTCTTTATAGTTCACATTAATCCTAAGATCTGAGTTGCTTATGAGAAAATTGAGAATTAGTGAAGTATACTGTTGAAGCTGTTTTCTTCTTTCCAAAGATAGAATTTTTAAAAATCACTGCTTCCAAGAGAATTCAGTTGGGAACTGCTATAGATTTTGTTTTCTCTAAGAATAAGTTTGAAACATCATATACATTGTTAATATATATTGTTCTCTATATGATTTCCTTGCTGAAAAAAAATTACCATGATGTTTGAAAGTGACTATGACATCTGCATTTCTATTTCTTAAAAACACTAATAATGAAAGATATAACTTATTAAAAAATTTTAAATGTATTCCAAACTTGTCTATCTTTTAATCCTCCTAACAAGTTTATTGAGATAAGCCTAAAATGATGCGTCCTTTGTAGGTAAAGACACTGACTCAGAGATGATGAATCATAATTAAGACTGCACAGACTTGGTTTAGACTTTGGCTTATGATTCCAAAACTAGTAAGTTTTAAAATTATTTCTCTTTAAAATTTTTTTATTGAAGTATAGTTAATTTACAATATCATATAGTTTCAGATTTATAACATAGTGATTCAATATTTTATAGATTAAGCTCCATTAAAAGTTATTACAAAATAATGGCTATATTCCCCTGTGTTATACAATATATAGTTTTCATTTATTACACATACATGTCTTCAACTACCTTTCTACAGACATTGAATATAGCTGTTTCTAGGTTTTAGTGTATTCTGAGAAAAGAAATACAGTGCATTTCACTTCACTTTTGTACCTTCTCTCAGTGATTTTCTTCTTCTACATCATCTCTTTGGAAACATCCAGGGCACATCTACAGAAATCCAGAGTAAACTGGTCACGGCAGGAGCAGAGTACAAAAAACTTCTTGACCCTAAATATCATTAGGTCTCTCAGACTCAATAACTCTAAACTGAATAAAGCCATAGCCTTCCCTATTTCAAAGATAATACTGTAATTTATTCAGTTGCTTAAGCCAAGAACCTTGGCGAGGGGAGAAGATAATGCTTGACTAGAGGAAACAGAGGAGAATTTTGGGATGATGGAGAGATTCTGTTTGGTACCCTAGTAGTGGATACCTGACGTTTTGCATGTCCAAAAACCAGAGACCTTTACACCAGAAAAATTAAATCTAAGATAAGCAAATTAAAAATAGAATCAACCAGAATATCAGGGGATACTGGGAAGGAATGCAGACTATGTTAAAATAATTAACTATATTGCAAATGAGTGACACATCTTCACTAAAGTGGCGAGGGGTAAAGGAGCTGACCTAAGTAACATTGGAACATGATATGTGGGCCGGAAATTACAGGATTAAAGACAAAAGGATTTGTATGTAAACACTCCACTGGTTGGTAAAACTGTTTCTCACAGAAGTACAGGTTAATCATTCTGAAACAGATATACATGAATTCCAGGATTGAACAATAAATAAATGTATGGCAGGTGGGGGATGACAGGTTTCTCACTGTTGGAAAGAGAGATTACAGATTAGCAAGGGCAAGAGGCTAGAATAAACCAAGTGGTACTGGCTTAGAGTCAGATACATCAGTATGCATTGAGGTTTAGCTTAGTATAGCTATAAATGGGAAGATACATAAATAATTATAGATAAGTGTGTATGCATGAGTTAGTATACGTACGTATGTTTTCTAGCTTTGTTTGCGGAAAGAACCTACAAGCATGACATCTCCATAGTAAAGAACACATTCAGTGTCTAGATGTTGGTTTCTAATTCCATACTCCAGTAAAATGAAATAGGGCTCCTCGGAGCAATGACTGATTCTAGAGATGGGGCACTGGGGGTCAAGTCCTCTTGCTGTAACCACATTGGAATTCTTTCTTTTATTCAGTTCTACAATCCCAGCCTCCTTAGATCTTTACACTGGCCATTTTCTGCATCTATAATATTTTTGGATCATTTATAAAATGCATGCATCAGAGTTAATATAATTTCCCCAAGGAGACCTTACCTAACACTGAACTCAAACTGACTCCCGGTTCTTCTCCATATTAGCAAAGCCTCTTATGTATTTTCAATCCCTATTACATTCATCTAATTAAATTTTTAAAACTCAAGTTATTATTTGCTTTCCGGCTTCCATGACAAGCTCCAGGGGAACAGGACCTGACTTTCTTGTTCACTGTTCTGTCATCAGTGCCAGAAGAAGGTCTGGTACTTAATTAAAAAAAAAAAATCTTTGAATGAATGTATAAATGTTCAGAAAGAATTGATCTTAACTTCACTGAAAGAACCAGAAGACAACGAGCTAATTCTTCTTTGTGGAAGGAATGAAAGAAAAGAAATACAAGAAATGATAAAAAAAAATAACATTCAAAAAATTACATAATGAGTGAAAGTTCAACTGTTAACAGAATGTGGAGTTTCAGATTCCCTTCTCTAGGCTCCTGTTGACTCATAAGGCTTCATTTCAGAATTATGCCTCAGCTCCAATTAGTAGTCAAGTATTTCCATATATAATGTGATGAAAATCCTCAAGAGACATATCTACATAGCTTCTCCAAGGATTTACCAATCCTTCCTCAACTACTTTTCTATACCTTTGATTTTTGCTGAACTGGAGGACTAGTTATTTAAGTGAAGAAAGCAAACTTGAGCTGTAAACGTGAATCATGCCCTTTGTAACACCCAAATCTTGTTTTCATATTTTCCTTTTTTCAGTTTCACCCCCTTCTCAATTGATTTCTTAGATACATTTTAGGAAAAATGCTAATAAATAAAAATTATTTTTTAGCTGAAAGTTTTGAATAACACATAATTTGAGCACTGCTTTGTGTTTTATTTACTAAAGTAACATTTTGATGTTATGAGTAATTTGTTGAGTTGTAATTTTTCAGAAAATGCTATTTATTCACGAATCTGCAAAAAACACACATGCAGTCTCTGATCAGCAGAATTATACACATGAAGCTCCCCTTTGTTATTTAGCAGTTTGGCATTTCTTGAAAAGCTAAAATGAAACTTCTTGCAACAAGCTATGACAGATGAAACTGGCTTTAGGAAATGCTTTATAAACAAGTCAAATCATGTTAGAACAGTGATCTTTAACTTTTTTCAATATCTAACTAATAACTCCCTTTCTTCAATTCAGTGAAATTCCACTGTAATGAAATAATTATGGAGAACCCCAATAATTTGCCTAGTACCTTGAATCTTATATAATTGAATTGTAAATCCATTTTAATGGAATTTACCCTTTGCACATCTTGACCCATCTCCTTTCTGAATTGGCTTCTTTTCCACTCATATATATCAGCAACAAGATTTTAGAGATCTGAACGATTATGCAGTCCCTAGAGAGCAGGTACTGTGTAGGGGAAATTTAACTCAATTTTCTATCTCAAAGGCTCGGGCAGTATTTTATTTCGAAATCTTCCAGTCCATTGGAAGTAGGTAACGAAAATTCATGTTAGAAAGAGGAAAACGTTTGCCTTGCAGCAAGAGTAAAACCTTTTAGGGATTTGCCAAATGTATACTTGGCTATGAAAATGTAGAAAAATAAGAAAGTA